TGATTTCTGGGTGGATGGATGCTTTCTAGGAAGTATTGGTTACTGCTCCACGACCTCTGCGGGCTTCAACAGACTTCTACAACCTGGATAACTTACTCTGAATGACTTGGGCAAGGGGGTGGTTGATCACGTAGAGGTATCTATTGGGGGGCCTGCATTATTTAAAAATACAGTGTGACTAAATCTAGATTGGGGGTCGAAGGAAGGCACGCCTAATCCTAAAGAATTCTAGGTTTAAAAGTTGAGTTCTTAGACGGTGCCCACGGCCTCACATCTGCTAGCTAGAGGACAGGGAAAGCTTCGAGTTAGACCTACCGGGGCTTGAGAAAAGAAGAGAATAACCCGATCGCTTTTTAAAAAGAAACTTCAGCGAGGAGATCACTTGAGCTGGGTAAAGCTGAGCTTAAATGGAGCCTTGGAGAGTAAACGTAGGGGATGAATCGTGCTGCCGGTTATCTCCCCGCCACGCACCCCGATGTTCTTCTGCGGAAGTTTCCTTTACTTGGGCTGACGCGCCTTGAAAGGGGCGGGGGCCAAAAGTCACCTTCGGCTCCGTCTTGCCGGAGTGGAAAGATGCGCCGAGAGGCCGGGAGCGAAAGGGTGGCTTGGCGAAGATTCCAAGGGGCGGGAAGGAGACGGGTTCCCGATGCCTCATTGGAGGAAAAAGCGGAGCCTGAGGGGAATCTCCGAATCCCAGGGCAATTAGCGTCGCCGCGGATGGGGGCGGGGCAGGGGGGAGGGAAAGGACCGCCACTAATCGCTGCTGGAGGAGGCCGGGCACAAGAAACTGACTCCGCTGCCCGCCAGCTTGACGCTTCTCCGCTGAGAATTCACACCTGGCAAAGGGGAGTGATAGAAAGTCCTGGGGTTCACCAGGAAGTATCCCACACCCCATTCCCAAAAGCCTGAGTTTCAAGTCACCAACACTTCCTATAAAGTTTCTTCTGGAACAGGCACTGATTTCCGCCAGTTAACCAGATGAAAGGGCCATTTAAGTCTGAGAGGCATCCACGCCCTAACAGCAATTTAATTTTACAAGATGAGGATTAGCATCTCCTTCTTAAAACGATCCTTTCGGATCAGACTTCTGAAACGTTCTTATGCCGATGAACAACCCAGCTTCTCCCTCAGGCTGGCGGCGGGGGGTGGGGGAGGGTCATCCCTGCTAATTTCTGCAAAGTTTCTTGACACTTGTATACATTCACTTTGCGCCCTTCTTTTTAATTAAAGCAAATATATTTATGTTCTGATGTTTATGCTGCGCTTTAATTACATTTGAGAAGCACTATTCTGTACCTCTCATTCTCTTCTCTTCCCTTCCCCCCCCTCGTATCCTAAATCACATTTTCATTAAAGGTTTTAATAAGAAAACTCACTTGACCGCTATTCATTAACTCGTCCCTTCCGCGTACACAAGTTCACTTACCCATCCGTTCATTGATTCACTTATTCATTCCAGAAGATCTGCTGCAACTGACTGCTAGCAGGGATGTGAACACTCATAATTATTTGTCAAAGTCTGCAAAGTGTATTATCCCTTTTTCTAGTGGTAATTAGTTACCATAGCATCTAATACGTAAATGTGCCCAGAGCACACCATTAACAGTTAAACGGAGGATTCAATTTAACACATGATTATATCTTTCATAAGTCATTACATTAGGAAAGTCAATGTCACTCACGCTGGGACAATCGCGGGATTGCAACGGGGGCTAAAGGGGGGGGAGGAAGGAAGAGAGAGAGAGAGAGAGAGAGAGAGAGAGAGAGAGAGAGAGAAAGGGAGAACGCAACTTGCCTTGCTTGGTAACCAAGGTGAAAAGGGAAACGGGGTCGCTTGGACAGTTCTGGGTTGGAGGGACGCCTTGAAATGAAACAAAAGCTTTTCAACGGGAATATTCATTTCTCATTTAAGTGATCCATCAAACCAGAATGGTAGGGGCGAAGGAGCCGCATACTGAGAGAGAGAGAGAGAGAGAAAGGGAGAACGCAACTTGCCTTGCTTGGTAACCAAGGTGAAAAGGGAAACGGGGTCGCTTGGACAGTTCTGGGTTGGAGGGACGCCTTGAAATGAAACAAAAGCTTTTCAACGGGAATATTCATTTCTCATTTAAGTGATCCATCAAACCAGAATGGTAGGGGCGAAGGAACCGCACACTGAGAAACAGAAACACACACAGAGACAGAGAGAGAGAGACATAGAGAGAGAGAGAGGCAGGGGAAGAAGATGCGCAACGCAATTTGAAAGCGCTGTTCAGCGAGCGCGTCTCTGAGCTCCCTGTCAATTCCCGGCGGCACCGCTGATTATACAGTGTAAGAGGAGCGAAGTGTTAAAAAGCACCAGAGTCTCTGTCCTCTCCGGTCTCTGACACGGGGAGTAAAACAGGAATAACGAGGCGACGCACGAGCCAGTCAAGCCTTGGGGACACCTCCGAAACCTTTCCTGGACCTTAACTTCGGAGCAATCATTTTGTTTTCTAAAATAAATCAGAATAAGAGTTGAAGGCCAGCAAAGGCGCGGGCTCCTTCTTTCCTCGTCTCTCCCCCCCCCATCTCATCCCCAAAATCAAAATTCCTGGGTTTCGACGACGTTCCATAGCGTTGCACAAGGTCGGTGGCATTTGTAACGGAAGGCTTGTTTTTATCTCAACTGACAACTCGATCGCGGAAATGTCAAAATCCAGAGAGCTCCGCAGCGGCGGAAGGGATGCCAAGCAGGTTAGCCGGCTACTGTGCTAACGGACACTGGGAAAGAGGGAAAACAAAAGAGAGATGAATGTTCATCCGGAAAGAGACGCGTCAATCGGTTCCCACGAACATTCCATACTTTTCCTCTCCTACCGCTTCAGAATATGAATCCGAGCCAGAGTGAGAGCCAAGAAATCTTGAAAATTCAAAGGCAAGGAGAATTTCTCTCTCCCCTCCCCTTTTCTCTCTTATCCAAAGGCTGCCATCCTCAAAACCCAGCGGCTGAGTTTCCTATTCATAGAAGTTCAGTAACTCAGATTTGTGGAGGATCCTACCCGTTAGCCCAGCATTTCGCTGACTTCGAAATAAACCTGCTGATCCAGCTCTGTCCAGGGTTAAACTTGTCGCTGACTATGTTAGTGGTCGCTTCCTAGTTTTGAGACGAGACACATCACCGTCCTAAAACAATTTACTTGAGAGGGGAAATCCCATTGAGTTTAGACGAATGTGTTTTCAATGAAGTATCTCGACGACTTCAGCCAGATGTCGAAAGTGTGGCTGGACACATTTAAAAGCTGTTTAATTAATTTCCCCGGAGTCCTTTGGCCTGGCGAAGTTGCACGGGTATTCAGTGGTGCCCCACTTGCCAGATCCCACTTTGCCAATATGAACTTTTGTCCCTGCCGCTACCCACAACTGAGCGTTACCCTCACTTAGGAGTCCTCTTTGAGGACCCTCTTTTTCCTGCGAAAATAAATCGCAACCAGTGAAGTATCTTGCAGCCAAGGAGTCCTGAGCTGTTAATATGCGTGCAACTCAAAAGCAGTATGGTGTGTAGAGAATATAGCCAGGCTTCTGGCTGTGCTTAATTCCTAATCAGGATGATGGACAGCAGAGACAGAACAATACAAACTAATGGCTGTGTTGCTGATCACTTTACCCCTTGATTAAAGACACCCAATTATGGCGCAGAACAGTGTCGTAATTATGTTCCTTAATCACATCCAGGAGGTCTAATTGCCTTAACGATGTGTTTCATTAAATGAATTTAGGTATTATAGTCGACAGTTTTCATACACAGTTGTTTTCAAATTAACATAATATTAGACATCGTCATGGAAATTGTTTTAATAATCATAATTAGACGCACCCAGGCTTTGTCTAGCAAATACTGAGAGACGGTTTCTCTTGGCGCCTAGGGGTGAGCTGCCCACCCTTGTCTGGGCCGCCTATGCCGCGCTGTACAGTTATGATTCTTGAAAAGTTACAGGTTCTGATTAATTCCCCCCCCCTCCGCTCTCTCATTTTCTAACGCCAAGTGGAACAGAGAACATTTCTCCTCTCTGACTCCCTCCGCTTCCTAGTCTTTGGAGGGCACTCCCTCGGAGAAACCTATGCACAAGCTAGAAACACCGGCCAGAGCTTGATGGAGGCAGGAAAGGGCGGCGGTTAAGAAGCCTGTGGACCACCACTTACCCGGCCACAATCGGGACCCTGCAATCCGCATCGACCCCAACCCCCGAGGCAGAAGAACACGTGAGGAGCTACTTTGGCATCCCCTGCGGTGCCTCCCTGACCAAGCAACTTCTTTCGAGCACTTTGTGAGAAAAGCGAGGTGTTTTGTTTGTTTGTTTTAATCAGGTACCTGACCTGTACAGGAAAAGGAGAGTCGCAACGCTTAAGAGGGTATTTTCCCCCCCTTTAAATCCTTCTCCACCACTATTCCAGTCCAGTTATTTCTAGCATTAAGGAGTCATGCAAAAAGAGGAGGACTCAGATATTTGGTATATAAAGACAACCATCCATCTCCCTAGGAGCAAGACACTGATGGCCTTTTTTCTCTGCACTTCTAAGTGTCCTGACACACAACAACCTTTCCGCCCCTTCTTTCTAAACATCAACCAAAAAAATAGATCAACAAGAGCAGTGTCGCATCTCAAACGCCTTTTCCCCTCCTTCTGCCGCTTTCCCCCGGTCTGTCTGAAGAAAGCAAAACACAGACAGAAAGAGAACTGTGGGGCTTTGCCTTGCCTTTGCCCCTCTTACAAAGCACAGTGTGATAAAAGATTTGTTCAAAATATTTTAATAAAGATTTTTCCCCGACATAAGATACACATACAAACCATCATACATGGCTGTCATCATCTGATTGACCTATTTAATATATATCACTCTTTACACATCCATGACCTGCCAACAGTTCTATCACAGCACTCGTTTTGCCATCCGATGCTGACAGACTGAATTTGGATTATCAGCAAGTAGTGGCAAACACCAAGCCTGGCACAGGCGGCTGGGGGGGGGGGGGGGGGAGGGGGGGAAGAGGCATAAAGGTTTGGGGGACTTCCACTTGAGTGGCATCACTATACACAATCCAGTTCTTCCAAAGTATTCAGACATAAGGTGACTCAAGCTCCACTAATAGTACTATCCACAAACCAGTTGAATTCAATGCTAGGACATTTCAGGCCCAGATAATAAAACATGCTTTTCATTCAGAAGTCCAAAGCTTAAATGGACTTTACTTTGAGACTCTTTGTTTAGACATCAATCCTATGCCCACTTACCTTGGAGTAAGGCCCACTGAACTCAGTGGGACTTACTTCCTGGTAGGACGGTGCTGTCAGTCTCTGCAGAGACTTGGTGGCCCCAGCCAGTCTTCTGCTGAAACAGATTCAAACATTTTTAATCCTGGAATGCTAAGCATACTTAGCCAGAAGCAAATTCTCTTGGAATCAGTGAGATTTACTTCTAAAGAATTGTGGTTAGGATTATAGCGTAAAGGGATAAAAGTAACTCTGATATAACTGGGTTGTTGTGTGCCAGCATTAAACAGCTTAAAACCCCAGTAGTCTGACTTAAATGTGTTGCAGTCCATTTAAGAAATCCATAATGACTCAATTTGAAATTTACTTTTGAGGGAAACAACTATTTTTTTTATTCTTTTGCTTTGTGGGTCATTATCTGGTGGAATTGCATACAAAATTAGGGCTAAACCGACCAGCTTGATTGAAATATCATTAATAATCAACAGTCAACAGCCAGTCTTGTTCTCTACTGTTCGCATACTAAACAGTACGGGGGGGGGGGAGAGAATCTTATTTTCCAACTTCTTGAAAAGAACCAATTACCTTATGCCACCTTGTCACAGTAAATAACTAGAAACAGAAATCCCCTCATGCTGCAGAGTGTTGCTAGTCATACCAACAGTCCAGTTCATTGAGCAATTAAGAATACACCTCTCCTTTCATTTTTGGACTGAAGCAATTTATTAAAGCTCAATTTATAAATACAAGGATGATGCAACTTAAAATCCAGATGCCTTTAATAAGCCTCAACAAGTCCGATACATCAAGATTTCTGGTTCAAATGTCCTTGGCAAATCAATGTTTTAAACACTTGGCACAAAGTTTAAGTTACTGGGAATTTTAAGAAGCATTAAAAAAAATCACATAAGACTCATGACCTCAACACAGGATGAATAGTACTGGTATGAAAGGGCCACTGAAATAAATATGTCTTTTCTTGTACACAGCATGTCAAAGTGAAAAGAAACAAGGTGCACATTATTAAAAAATAAACCTTCAGCCACAGAAGGAAGGAGTTTGTCACTTCGTTTAAAACTCACTCCCCTCCCCCCCCAAAAAAAACTTTGGGCATTTTCACAGGCTCAGCAGTTCAGCAAAAATAAAAAATAAACGCATTTCGAGAGCATATTGCGCATGTCTAGCCTCAAAAAGTCTACATTTCAAGTTTGCTTGTTTCTTGGCTCAGAAGCAATAAAGTAAAATAAAAGAAAACATATTAAACATATTTTTTAAAAAAACTTTTTAAGTGCCCTTTTTGATTTGTCTGAGTTTACAATCCAACTTGCTTCCATCAGTTCTACCTCTGGTCCAAGACCAACCAACGCCCCCTTCTCAGTCCTTGGTTGCCTCTATAGCAAAAGTTCTCAATACTAGTTGGAAGTTTTAAATAAACCATGTAGGGAAGAGAGGATTTCCCTCCTCCTGATCTGCTAGTATTCTTCGTCCACACTCACCCCAATACATACACCCCACCCCACCCCATTGCGATTGTGTGTGTGTCTAAACTTCGCTGAGGTCTCAGTTGCGCTTAAGTCCTCCTTCGGCTCCACCACGATCATGCTCCCTCCAAAGGCGGCTGCGGCAGAAGTCCTGCCCAAGGAAGCAAGGAGCGACGGAGGGTCACCTGGCTGGAGTTCGTCTCTCTCTCGCTCTCTCATTCTCTCTCTCTCTCTCTCTCTCTTAAGGCTTCTCCGTGCACTGTTTGCAGAGACTGGAGGAGACGCTGTTGAAAATGGCACATTTCTCCGGGCACGAGGTGGCGGCAGGCAGGCCGGCGCTGAAAGGGTAGCCGGCCGCCGCCTGCTCGTAGGCCCCGAGCGCTGGGTGCAAGGCAGCGGCCGCGGCTGCCGCGGCCGCCGCCGAGCTGGGCAATGAGGCGGCCGAGATGGCCTGGCCCTGGTTGAGATAGGCGACGAGGCGGCGCATCTCGTCGAGGGCCTGCGCCTGCATGAGGATGTAGTTCTTGGCCAGGAGCAGCGTGGCGATCTTGGAGAGCTTCCGCACCGAGGGGCTGTGCGCGTAAGGGATGACGGCCCTCAGCTCGTCCAGCGCGTCGTTCAGGTCGTGCATGCGCCGCCGCTCGCGGGCGTTGATGTTGAGGCGCAGCGCCTTCTGCTCCTTGGACTTCTTGCCGCCGCCGCCGCCGCCCCCGTGGTGGCT